AGTAGCTGCAGTGCTTGTGGCTGGGGTTGGAGTAGCCACAGCCCGAAGCCCTCTTATGCCTTAGATACTGTTAATAACAACACAGCCAGATGCTCAACAGCCCAGTTGGTTGGAAACCAGCCCTGGTACTAAAGCACAGCTCCCACACCACAGTGCAGCATTTAGAGCCGCAGCAGAGCTCCTGGGGAGGATGGGGACAGCCCTCAGGAGCAGCCTGGTGCCCCTGCTCGCCCAGGGGGAGCCTGCAGGCAGGGAAGCGGGGCTCCAAAGCCCGCAGAGCACTTGCTGCCGCCCAGACAATGTCCCCCAGCTCTCTCCCCTAACCCCGCCAGCCACCCGCATCACGCACCTCACACTGGCTGCTCCACAACAGACCCACCGCCCGCCGCTGCCCACCCGCGCCGCCACAGGTGAAGTTCGCAGGAGAGTGCAAAGCAGTGCCACCCGTGAGCAGCCCAGGATGACACTTAATACTCAAGTTGCCATGGTTTCAATAAACGGAGCTGTCTTCTGCTGCGCAGGGTTCTTCCAGAGGAAGTTACTGTGTGGGTTATCTCTAGTAACCCACCACAAAAACCCCACATGGAAAATGAATCCAGGCAGCAAGACCATTGGAATTTGTCCCGATGGGACACAGTCCCTGTCTTCCCCCTCACGAAGCGCACCCCGCTATTAAAAACACTGGTATCTGGAAGTATGTCTGACACCCAGTGCCCTTAGTCACACGAGCCCCTTTGTGCATTTTACAACCAGTGTTGCTCACATCTGTGTGGCTGCAGCAATGTATTAAAAATGAAGCGCAGCTGCTAAAACCAGTATCATCCAAAAAGTCTGTATTTTCCAAGAGAACTTTTATCAGCAACATGATCATGACAGGCCATTCTGTAAAACCTAACCCAAACAAGTGACATTTTTATTGGCGAGTTCCGCTCATGAATTTCTTTTTCCATGCTCATACCTGCCAAAAGTTTGATTAAAAAAAAACAAAAACAAAAAACCAAAACCCAAACAAAACCATTTTGGGTAACATTCCATTTGCAAACAATAAAATTATTTACCATTTTTAAAATAAACCAAAGGATAACAATTTTAAATACAAATTGTAGGCAAACCCATCCTGGTTCCCCCCAGGAGCCATTCAGTGGGCTGGGTACCAAGGCTCTCTTATTTGGAGCTCAATTAAAAGGACTGGGGCATGTGCATATATTATTACCATTGAAAGCCCTGGTTTGTTGTACATTCTTCACAGGAAAACATAAACCAGTTTGGAGTAAACCAACCAGTACTTTTTCTTCACTTATTCTAAAGCTAAGTCATACTGAAAATTTGGGGTGGGGGGAGGGAGGGAAATCTGGCTTCAACATTCAGCTACTTTATCACACACGATTTCTACTATAAGCATATCCAGGTTGAAATACACATCTGATTTCTGTCATGAAGTTAATGCTTATGGGGGTGTGAGATGGGATCTACTTCAAAATGACAGAACACATCACTTCTTGACGAACAAAATTATTTTTAGCCTTTCTGGACCAATGCTTGGTTGCTAGATTACTTCTCCTCAACCTTGCCAGGAGAGACAGTTTTCACTGCTACCACAAATAAAAACATAACCAGTGGCAATCACACGTCAGTTACTAAGGTGTTACATTTAGCACATTTGCTTGCATTCTGGAAAACCCTTAGTCCATTTCTTTTAGGCCCCAGAGGCTTTATACACCAGAAATTACTCAAGTCAACCACGGAAAATTGTTAATGGGTATCCACAGTGATTCTGAGGTATTCCACAAGAAACCTGGCTCTGCATCTGAATGTTCCTCTCAAAAACAACAAAAAATCCCAAAGTCTTAGCTGGAGTGGAAACTTCAAACATTCCTTTCATTCCCATGTTCCACCACATTTGTCAACAAGGGCATACTTATTTCCCCAGGGGCATAAAAAAAGACTTCTCCCCACTGGCACAAAAAAAAGCCTTCATCCTTTTCCTGGAGTATTAGTTTCAGTACTTCATTCCTGAATTCATGGGTGCACTCAGAAGAGATGAAGAGAAAGGTGTTATTTTCTAGCCAAACCAGAGAAACACATTCAGACACTGGTTTTGGTTTAATTACTTTGTAAAGGTGCTCTAAGAAGATACCAGCAATCCCCTTACATTGAAAATAGCAGCGGTTTGTACTTTAACCTCCAGTTTGTGAGGAAGAGGCTAGGGAAATATCTGGACCAGAGTCTGAAGACCAGGTTAAGAAGAAATGGTCTCCCAGGTCTGGATTTGGCTTGGCAGAACTGTTATCTATTGAGGCAGTCAGCAATGACAGAGGGTTGCTCCTGTCAAACAGGAGATGCTGCTTCACTGCATGAACAGATTCCTAAGGGACTGGTTGCCTACCTTGCTTGCAAGCCTTTCTGTTCAGGCTGATGGGGGCAGGACAGCTTTATTCTTCAGGTAACTGCTGTTCTCCTTTGAGTAGTACATTCAGAAAGTTTTCCAATAAACCAGAGCTGTAGTGCTAGTTGTTCATAATAAATTGACTGCAACATCTTCATTGGTTACGTTATTTTCCATGAAGAGTGGAAAACCTTTATAATGACCGTAGAAGAAAATAATTTGCTACATTAGCATCTGTAGAAAAACCATAGGCAGTAACATTTTCTAAAGTGCTTCTTTACTTATCAGTTACTTTAAAAATTAGACTCGTATTTTATAGCGGCATAGTTTCCTAGTTTCGTGGACCAGTACATAGTTTCTGATGTAAAAAACCCATTACGTATTTTAAGCAAATGACATTTGCTTTGAGAAATGCACAAAAGTGAGTGATCTAAGTGCAAAACTCACCATTTCTTAAAACACAGCCTTATGCTGGTTTATTAATGCAACTTTACATCCTTTAAAAGTAGTTCAACTCCAAGAGCAGTGATTAAATAATACAAACAAAAGTTGAAAATTCAATGAACCTATTGTCTATTTACCCTGAAATAAAATAGTCTTATGATTCCACTGGTGCAAAAATACCTCCAAACACCTTTGTTTTATTGGCAAAGTCATTTAAGGTCACTTTTGCTTCCAAGACCATTTTCTTCCATGGTTTCCAGTGAAGGAGTTTTGCTTTGTAATGGCTTGTGGTTCCACAGTGATTTGTAAATGAAAAACCTACTATGAATAACTCTACTGTAGTCACTAAATTACAGATACTGTCCAGGAAGTCCAAAGCTTACAGTGGTTTTGTTGCTTGGTTGGGGTTTTTTTTGAAGGGGGTAATTTTTTATTTTTATTTTTAATCTTCAGCAAGACACAAAATTCCAGTCTAGTTAAAATGTTCTCTTTGAATGCCATTTTAAATGGCAATAAAAGGCTGCTCTGCCTTCTAGAACTTAACACAATGCCTGAAGTGCTTCTTATAGATGGATATTGTACTTCAAATATACCCACTGATCGGTGTAGAAGGGCTCCCACAGGCACAGCCATTTGGATCAGCTACCCCTATGTATATAGTGCAGTAGGTTTGAATGCGTAGAGAGAACCTCAGCTGGGTGGCACGCAGCAAATGTTGGGGTTGTTTGTTCTCAGAAGGCATGACACGAAGCATCCCAGACAGCAAGAGACAGAAGCATCTGCAACGTTGTTCTGCTTCTGTCACGTAGTAGTGGTTTCCATTGAAAGGTGGTGGTTATTGCTGAGACAGCAAAGCACTCCGATTGGCTTTCATCTTCTCCAAGCGTTTTACTAGATGACCATTGCTGACTTCAAGCTCTTCAGTTTTATCCAATGCTGAACGAAGCTAAAGGAAGGAAGCAGAAAAATACCCTAACTTTCACAGTATTTTCCCTTTCCGAAGACAAAGCACTAACTGATCATATTGCTGGAATTGCCTTACAAGGTGAGACAAGTGAAAATTTTTATTAGCAGAGTTAAAAGAGAAGCCCTGAGAAGCCGTGGCTGCCCCATCCCTGGCAGTGTTCAAGGCCAGGTTGGACACAGGGGCTTGGAGCAACCTGCTCCAGTGGAAGGTGTCCCTGCCCGTGGCAGGGGTTGCAGCTGGAGGAGCCTTAAGCTCCCTTCCAACACAAACTATTCCGTAATTCTGTGAAAAGTGAAGGCTGTGGCCTTCGAAGGCCACAGAGAGAGATGTTTTCTGGGCACGGTGCCAAGAGTCAAAGTTATTTACAGGACATTGAAGAAATGGCTCAGTTTGCCTAAACTTCAGAGGCACAGAGATACCTGATGGGTGACATACACCTGTCTCACTACCTGGCTTTTATATTTTTGGTTCCTGTAACTACAGCCACAGCTGTGAACTGGGTGACAGTTCTGTAATAAAACCCACCCCGGGATGGAGAAGGAGAGAGGTAGACTGCACAAAGCACTATTTATAGGCAGCAGAGCACAAGGAGTATACAGAAAAAGCAAAGAGCCACACAGAAAAAAACAAACGCAACAAAAAACAAAAACCAAACCAAAACCTCAGAAGGTGGGCATGAAAGAAGCTGACAAACATATTAAAGCTGGTTGTAGCAGCTACTTGGAGAGAACATCAAGTTTGGAAAGACAAGTAAGGTCAAAATCACAGACAGCTTGAAGATGCAATGTTTTAAGAGGAACATGGACAGACACATGACAGCAAATAGGTGTGAAAAGATTGACAAAGCAAGAAAAACAGGCTCAATGAGAATGATTCACATCCATTTAGCCCTCCAGTTTAGACTGTCATTACTGCTAAAGTGTGGCACCGTGCTTAACTAATGAAGCACACAAATTAACTTTACAACAGCATTTCCAGCTTTCTACTGCTATAATTTCTGAATCACATGTTCTAAAGGACCAGTGATCACTATTTACAAACCCAGAATTTGTAACACCCAAAGTAATGAGCCTTCAGGTATCACAAAGGACAAGGACAGCAAAGTAGGAGTTCTTCAGCTTGATAATTGTCAAACCACAGGAACACTCACAGCTGCAAAGTGGCTCACAAATCTGAGCATCTGAAGGCTGCTTCTAGATTCAGGTTGTACAAGAAGAACTTAAGTTTGCATTTAGAGTTACCTCTCTCTGTAGTTTGCGTTTCTCTGCTTTCAGTTCATCTTCTACTCTTTCAGCATTTTCAGCAGCAGTTTTGTATCGGGCTACCTGACCTTCCAGTCGTATTACCTAAGGTGAAGGCAGAGTTTTTTAAGCAAAAGCTGTACCAAGAAGTTACTGTGAAGCTTTACACTTCCACTAGTAGTTAAGCAGTAACTAGAGAGATGCTTACTTTTCTTTAATAAAATAAAGGTATATTCTGAGGGGGGGAAAAAACATACCAAGGAAGCCTGGCCATGCTAACTTAACTCCAGAGCTTTTATACATATCCATATTTAACATTCTTCCAGCAACAAAAAAAAATATACTTAGCAAGAGTATCGCTGACATACTCTGGACAAGGACAAGCAGTCCAAATTGAAGTGTCTTGTGTAAGATCCATATATACTACATTATATGCTGACAGCCATTTAAAATTGTCAATAGCTAGGTATAAGAAAGGATTCTGAAGAGTTCAGTAAGTGCTCTCAATATCCCTTTGTCTTTGAATGTTTTTCCTTCAGTAAAGAAGGATATATTCACTTTTCCCCATGCATAAATGAAAGCAATTTAGTCTTTAACGACTTAAGTTCAGTAGCTCTGATGCTCCAACACTCCTGCTTCTTATTTTAAGGGAAAAATCACAGTAACCATGATTTCATTTAATAAGATGTAATCACAATTTCATTTAATAAGATATGTATGTCATATAATAAAATACACTTTCCCTTTGCACTCTCACCATGCCTAAACAAACAGAACAACCCAAAAACTTACATTCTGCTCCAGTGCTGTTATCTCTTGCTCGGACTTTGCTAGTTTAAATTTGAGATCACTGATCTGTCTGTTGGCATCTCCTAAAATAATTGCAGATTTATCAGAGATGTCAGAACAAGTGTTAACAGTGTCTAACAAGTCTGTCACAAGATTTCCATGCTATAGGTATCTACTTGGGGCAGCGGTAAAGTGGGAAGTGCTCTGTCAAGAGAAGTGCCCAGCAGGTAGGTGCTGTTCCCAGTCTCACCTGATGCCCTTCTGACCACTCTGAAAGCAGAATTAACCACAAACTCATCCCAGTTCTCCTAGGGAACATAAGGGAGATTTCCAATTGCAATCTTGCTCTAACAAGGGTAATCATTTCCTCACCTCTAGCAGAGAGGTGCATGGCTGGCTCCCAGTTTAAAGCTCCCTTAGAACCAAAGGCTCATTTTTTACTTAGAGGCACATGGTTATGGCACAGATACACTTTTCTCGCTCACATGCAAGACACCAAAAGTTCTCTTAAAATCAAACTGCAGCTCACTTTGGAGGTCAATCATGTGCATATCTGTCCCATTTTCCAGAACTTCATCTTCTGACTGCATATTTTCCATCTTGCCATTCTTTTGCTTTTCTTCCAGTTGTCCTTTTAATTTTTTAACCTGAAGGTCACAAAATAATCAGTTATTAAAAGCAGTAAGGGAGATTTTCGTCTCAGTACTCAAATTCACTCAAGTACTATTAAAAAAAAGTTGTATTTTTTAAAACCTAAATACCTCCAAAAATCTTTAGTTACAAAATAATTTCCTAGAAATTCTGTTGGCACACAACTCATCATATTTTAAGTATCAGTGCTTATGCACATACCAAACATAACGAGTGAGAGAGGACTGTTTTATTAGAAAAGCCATAAATGCTCTGTAGAGTGAGCCACGTAAAACATTCTTAAAAACTAATCACCATGTTTGGCTGTGTGTGGAGTCTCAAGGGCAAGGATACAGCCCATAAATGAAAGCGTAGAGTGTCCTACAAAGAAACAGGTCAGCTAAAGTTTTCTTTAATAAGCTTTATATCCACTATGGAATACCATGGTACCAGCAATACTTACTTTAATTGCTATCTACCCATCTACTGCAGCTCCTCCAGAATTTCCTTCCAAATGGCCCACTACCCACAGATGAGGAAGCATTACTCTTTGAGACAAAATTTGCTTCTAAAATGTCCGGACTGTGTTTGTTTTTCCCTTGGGCTTGACCAATCTGAAGTATTATTTTTCAGAAACACTCCTGGAGTAGGAGTTGTAGGTGACAGAGGACACTGAATGTGACTGGTTAGCAACACACAGCGAGCACGCTGCCTCGTGTTTTTCCTCCCCTGTATCCCCAGTTAATGCGCAGGAGGAACGTTTCAGAGGAAGAAGGAAGTGGCACGCAGCGCAGTACGTCCTCAGCAAGAGCAACCCAGCACGCTTTCTGAAAGGCAATGGCACTACTGTTCTATGCCTTACATTTTCATTTTCGTCTATGCTATTCTTATCATAGATTTAGTGAGGACACAGCATTTGCGTTTTCCTGTGATTACCTGGTCTAGTAAGGATTCTCGTTCGTCAATGAGTTTTTTCAGCCTGTCTGAAAAAGAAAACTCAAAGTTCAGTGCTGATTTGACCACGCTGCACACTTCAGAGCGCATCCTGATATAAGACCGAACCATTAAGGTTAGTGACACTAATGATGAATGTAATTATGCACGTACCACAGGAAACGAGGCCACAGACAGGGCTGGGAAGGGGCTGCAGCCAGGGGAGGTTATGTCATTCTCACAGAACATGCTTGTCACGGCAGTAGCAGCACCCAGCTGCATGCAAAGAGGCTAATCTTCTACGTTAGGTTAGCATGCAAGAACTCTAGGGTCAAACACAACTGCAACACAAAATATCTCAAATCTTTACAGTTTAACATATTGAAAATACTGTAAACACCTATAATCATAGCTAAGCACATTCTCAGCACTTTACATCATCACTTCTTTTACTAAACAGCATGGCAATGACATTTTGTGTTATGTCCAATATTATGACCAGAACAAACCTTTTCCCGTTAAATTATTTTTGTTTCTAACACAGCAGTCTGGTAAAGCTTTCTTTTCTCTTTAAACCTTCATAGTCAATTCTCCTGGTCAAACATCAAGTAGGCAACGGACAACCTGGACCTGCTGTTGTGCTACACTTGAACTTGGAAGTGCTACAGATCAACACACAGATGTGTGGGGCATTCATTAATAAAATGCACACTACAGAATGAGACAGCTGGCAAAAAGAAATAGAAAGTAACCAAATCACTTGGGTTTTTCCTTCTCTATTAAGGGGTGCAAAATGCGAGAGCATTTTATCAGGTACTCACAGACTTTCTTACCAATAAAGTTACTTTACCTTATTAACAACCTTAGTTGTTAATACACTGGAACATAGTATTCAAATATAATTATGTGTATAATATACAGGATATATTGACCTCAGACACAGGTCTTGCTCCACAAGTTCGACATGTATGTTTACTGCAGGTTTATTTAGCTTGCCTCCTTTGCCAGCAAGCTGTCACCTATTCAGAAGCCAGGGTGTTCAGAACTCAGCTCCACATCTAAGGTCGGGCCTGTTAATTAAATGGTCTTTCCGTAAACTTAAGGAAAGCAATTTACAAATTACAGAGGAAACGCTGGTGGGCTTCTGCCAGGTAAATTCTGCTGCTAGACTGAAGTATTTTTGAAAAGCTTTAAAAATACCAGTTCTCATTTGCTGACAAACCACGAATGTGCCGGAGTCTTGTGGTTCCCCTTTTTCTTCTTGTTAACACACGCAGTAAAGGAAACAAAGTCTGTACTGAATCAAATCTTGGGGAAACCTGGCTTTCATATGGGCCCCTCTACACAGCAGACATTAGCTAGTAGAAATGTGGTATGTCATTCCCCTCCAGGGTATAGAAGTTCCCATGTATCAGCAGTCTTTCTAGAGCAGGGAATAAACCCTTTACCTTGACTTCTGATGCAATACACAAATACAGATCTTAAAGCAACATCCCAGTTCAGCAGTTCGATGCATTCATTCTGAACCTCCTCAAGTCCTATCCTCTTTTTTTTCCCCAGCCATTTGTAACACACTCACCATTGTTGCACCTGAGCATGGATATGAAAAAAACAAAGAAAGACACCAGATTTTTGTAACCTGCCATGAGCAACAGAAATTTACAAATATAAATCCCTTTGAAATAACGAAACAATTTCACTTATCTATATGAGAAGGAAAGGAAGCTTAAGACAAATTCTATGAAAGATGAAATGTAGGCAAGAAAAAGAATGATCAATGAAGAAAGCGAGGACAGGAAAAATAAAAGAAAGGTCAGCAATATTCAGACATGGAGATAGGGCTTGAAGTTACAGGCTGGCAGAGATTGAGAAATGAAGTTCTACGGATTGGAAAGAAAATGAGGACTGATGCAGAAGGAAAACTCTAGGCCACTACAAAATTAGCCCAAATCTATCAGCTCCAAGAGGTCCAAATAATCCATCTTGATCCTGAAAATAACTTAAGTCATGCACTCACTAGGCAACTTTCCTTAGCGTAACTGCTGCTGTGGGGTGAAGAATGCCTGCCTGAAAAAAGGACACCTCCTCCACTTTCCAGTAAAGCAGCACATCAGCTTCTTCCAACCCCTTTCCCTGTGTTTTGGGATGGACCTTCAAATCTGTCTCACCATCGGTTCTCTCTTCACCCATTATGGACATCTATCTGTCCACTGGGCAGAGGGCACAGTGGCAGCAGGATTTAGTCTTGTTAATCACAGAAGTCTTGTAAATCACAGAAAAAAACTAGTTCGCTAAAATTGCCGTTCCTGTAGAAAATTTTTCTGCATGCAGAAGTGAAAGTCTCTTAGGTCCCATCCTCTTAAAACCTCGCACTAACACAGAAAACTTACTTCAGCTTTAACAGGTATCTCTGCAGTCACCCTAATTTTGCAGTTAGAAGACATTTTTTCCAACAAATCATGGAGCAGAGGACCTTGAGAACAGGTGAGCAGAAAAGAGCAATCTACTGAATTAGGACACAAAGCAGCTAATTAAAATGGTCATCTGTAACTGTCACCATCCTTATTTCACATACAAAGATGAACAATGACAGCGTGACATTCATCTCACTTAAATTTAACTTGGCTAACATGATTCCCTGGCTAGTCTCTGCACCAATACACAGCTTTTATAGGCCAAAGAGCTTAAGAGAAGGCTGATGGAAGGAGCTGGGCCCTGGGAAGGCCTGGGAGACAGCAGGACTCGGGGTGTGTGTGGTGGTGGTTACCAGTGTCTTCTGCTACTGTACAGGCCTGTTTGCGAGTCAAATTACTATTCTCACTCCTTTGATATTGTAATTGACTCAAGTATTGATAACTACGGTGCTGTTTCAGTGGCACGGTTGACCTAACACCCCCTAATAAGCCACTGATCCCTGATGTATCTTCCTACCTGCAGAGGAGCATGGGGTTGGAAGCAGTGGATTTTAACCCAGATGATTTGCATGATGTATGGCCCAGAAAGTAACTAATCCCAGTGCAACTGAAAGGGGTAAACTGTAGTTGGAAGATGGGAAGACATCCCATGAAATCACCCCAGCAGCCTCAAGCAGCTGATCATTACAGCCTCCAAGAATCAAACTATGAGATCAATAGCAGGTTGGATAATAGACCTTTTCCAGATCTGCTGATTCATTTTGGATCACCAGAAAACAACAAGAAAAAACTTAGAGAAATGCTTTCCCCTCTTTCTCAAAGAGCAACACTGCTGGGAACAGGCTGTTGGGTCAGTGAATGAGTGTAAGAGTAAGAAGACACCAGCTTGCAACACTGATTTTGAGAGGGACAGGAGGACTGTTCTTTTCTGTAATAAGAAAATACTGACCCAAGTTTTTCACTATTACTTGCTGAATAAGGAAAACAAGTTTCTTCAGCTACTGCTTTTGAAAGCATTTCAGGCTAGCTCCAACTTCGCAGTACTGCACAAATCGGGATTACAGGCAACATGTGCCAGTCACTAGGTTTGGAACAGAAAACCCAGTAAGCATTTGGAGCTATGGTGCTATTTTGAGAAACAAAAGTCTTACACAGTGTGGGTGGTGCTCATCAGCAGATTGTCCCTGCCCAAAGCAAAATGGGTAACATAACAGCAGCAAATATGAATCTTGATTTTAGGTCATCTCGTGATTTCTTGGTCTCATGGTAGACTATGAAAAGACTGATTTGGTTATTTCACTATCCTTGAAAGTCAAAACAATAAAGAAAGGGACAAACTACATCTTTTCTTGTATCAATTAGGTATGACAGGGAAAATGCCAAAAACTGTTCTCAATTGTGTAACTTTACGAAAGATGCATTTTCTAGGTAATTCCTCCTGAGACACCATCTCCTCTCCCTTTTTAATGGCACACGTTTCACTCAATGCTAGCTGGCATACAGTATTTAAATTATTCAATTTTGAATACAACATCTAGCAGTTCCCTTTAACTTCAAGCTGATTTATCTGTGAGACCTCCGCATCTCCCTCACTGTGCATATATACTCAAGCAAAAATGGAAGAGGTAAAGAAAACAATGACCTTTTCCTCCATGGTACTTGCCCAGTTCCAGAAGTCAGGGACCAGCTGCCAACAGAGGTACAAGCAGTAATGTTCAAGGATGGATTTCTAGTACATCAGCTATGTCAATGTTCTTGCTCCTACTCTAGTTCCACTGAGAGTCGGACACTTACTGTGGGATAAAAGCTGGTACATGGACAGTTAAAACTAGAGTTGTTTCTCCTTCTGCGACTTGGCTTTAAAAGGACCTCTCTTACAAATGCTTTGTTTTCTGGAGTGGAAAAACTAGTTAAATTAGCTCAATATCTCTCAACTATCCAGAAGCATTTATTTTAGAAACAAACTTGTATGAAAAATACAGGAAATGCTGGCATGTGCCTAATTTAACTGAGAGTTGCTTATGGATCCATCCACAAGTATAGGTGAAGCCTGGTAAGGATGTTCAATTATATGTTTAACTGTATTTAGCATTTAAATACAAATGTGTTTAAAATACTTTCAACATTAAACTATGCGTTCTTGTTGCAAGTATAGCAGAGACAAATCTTTAAATAAATACTACCACACAGTAATGAAAGATGCTTTTAAGATCCGTGACTTTTTAGATTAGCATTTCAGGTAAACCCGTAAGAACAACTGCTAGTACTTACAGAAACCATACAGGAACTGTTCTAAGTTGGAGAGAAGTCATATGAACAAAGAGTTACAGGTTAACTGTAGACCTGTAACAGAACTGTAAAGGGTGCTATCATGTATTAAAGGTCTTCAAACACCATAGCTGCCCATTCCTAGTGAAATAGGTCTTCTAGCTATGTAGCACAACGCAATAAATTTAAACAAAGCTGCAGAAAAAATGTTTTTTAAGTGATACAGATTTAAATAAATATTGATGCAGGTTTATAAACAGTGCTCTAGACAGGCAATTAGAGTATAAAATACGTTTATTTCAATTATATACAGCTCAGTACACTTGGATATACATCTTGACATTTTGCAGTCTGTTTGCAACATCACA